CGGCGAGGGCGCGGAGGGTGCGGCGCGCTCCTGTCCCGTGCGCCCTCCCTCCCGCGCGCAGTGCCCTCGCCGCCGGATGAGCCCTCCCTCCGCCCCAAAGCTCGGGCTCCAAGGGGGAGGGCTCACAGGGAGGATCCGTCAGCGGGCTCCCGGGCCGGGGCGTGGACGGGTCGGGCAGCCCCGCTGACCACGCGCTGGGGCTGCGCCTCCCCAGGCCCTCCCACGTGCTTTGGAACAGCCCCCACCCCTTCCCAGGAGGCGGACTCACCCTGGGAACCGTTAACAAGGATTGGCCCTGCCCCCGACCCAGCTCGGCTCCCGCACCTCACACCCGCCCCTGCAGGGTGGTGGCCCGGGGCCCCCAGGGAGGAGACAGGGTACTCAGGAACACACAGCGCTATCAGCCCCTTCCGACGACCCACCTCACTCAGGATCTCCTGGGTCCTTCTGGCCCCGCTGGGTCCCCCTGCCCCAGGGTCCTGGTGGTGCCTGAAAGCCTGGCTGCTTACACTGCTCCTGGGAAAGGCAGGACCAGGGAAGGAGGGCAGCTGGCCCACCGCGCTCCCAGCCTCATGCTGGCCTTGATGGCCCTGGGTGCTGCTTCTCCACTGGGCTGAGTGTGCCAGCAGGGGAGGGACTGGTTGACCTCAAAGGTGTGACAGGTGTCCCCTCCTCTTCTTGGGACACAGGTCCAATCCTTACTGCCTGATGGGCTCCCTCTCAGCCAGGCCTCTTGGCTTCCTGAGCCAGCAGGGAGGAGGGGAGACTAGTCCCCTTGCGTGAGCCCCGCTGGTCATGCCTGCCCAAAGAGCCCATTCCCTCCACAGCCATCCAGCCGTTTCCCTCAGCTGGACCTGAGCAACAGTGGGGGATCTCCAGGGGGAGTTGGGTCCTTCCTTAACTACCTCCAGGCTTCAGGCTGGACAGCTGGGGCCAGCTCAAGTTCACAGGCCCTACAGGCTGCCAGCAGCCCACCCGGTGCTGTAGACCAAGGCTAGAGATAGTCAGAGCCATAGCTGACCCCAGCCGCTGCATACAGTGCAGGGGTGGATCACACAGGGCTCAGAAGAGCCCTCCAGACCCTCTGTAACTTCCAGGTGTCTGCCAGGAACAATGGAGGCAGCCAAGCAGAAGACCCCGACCTTGGCGACCCCACAGTCAGCCACTGGCAGAGATACTCCAGAGACAAGCTGGCCAGAGGATGAGGTGGGTGGGCCCAGGGATGCCCACCCTCCTTCCTGGCTCAGGCAAAGGTAGTCACATCCAGGACAGCAGCTCTGGCTTTGTGAACCCTGAGCCTGCTGAAGTCTCAGCTCCCTCACGTGTCCGGCTGGCGAGCCAGCTCCAAACGGCGGGGTCTTGAGGAAGACCACATGACGTAAGACCCCCTTCTCACCCCACCGGCTGGCCCCCTAAGTGACCTGTGCCCAGCACCGGGTCAGGAAAGGCAGTCCAAGAGACCTGGCGAAGCTGCCAGACCCCTCCTCAGAGGCCGGGTACCCGCTTCTCATCACCTGCATCGCAGTGACCCAGACCTTCAAGGCCTGCGTGTCAGGCTGGCAGCGCACCTGTGCCGCCCCCAGCAGCCCTATGGCAGGTGGCTCTGCCACTGGACAGGAAGGCACATGGTGGAGGCAAGAGAAGTTGGGCCTCAAAGTTACAGCCCCACCCGAGCCCTGGGTGCAGCTCTCAGCTCCAGGCACCTTCACAAGCAGGAAGCAGTCCACTGGTGTGTGTCAGCCAGCCCGTGCTCTGCAGCAGGGACACGTGCCCTCAAGCTTGGGGATGGGGGTGGGTTCCAGAGGTTCCAGGCTTTCCAGTACCCCTCCTCCATGCCCCAAGGGTCCTTCCAGGGCCCAGCTCCACCCCCCACCCCCCCGGAACTGGAGCCACCTGGGAAAAGACAAGAGGGAGCCTGCTGAGTTGTCAGGCCTTCCTGCCACAGCGACCAGTTACCCCCCCAGAGGGGAGGCTCAGGCCAGTGCTGGCGACCTCACCCACCCAGCTCACAGCCCAGACCCTGAACACCCTGGCGCCCTGGGGGAGGACAGGACCACAGAGGCCCGGGTACAGCCCCCGCAGCAGGCCCTCGAGCAGGGGTCACTCTAGCCTCTCAGACAGACTTCTTGGGTGTGAAAGCCTCAACCTTGGAGGGAAACATGGGAAATACTTTTCTCCAAGGCAACACTCCACACCAAAGACGGCCTCCTACGTGTCTGTGGAGTATCAACTGTCAGGCTTTGCTCCCTCGATGAAGACACACTTCTCGACACGGCCTGCACCGTGAAGGGCTCAGCTATGCCCATTCGCGGGGACACACATGTCCAAGAAGTGGTCTAAGGTCATGCACCTGCCCTCCAGGAGGGACTGCACACCAGACTGACGACCCGACTCAGAGGGTCAGACAGCTGGACCCGGGGCCTCTGCTGAAAGCTCTGCGCAGTGCCAGCCCACCCCCACCACGGACATCACACACACAAAAGAATTCCGCCTCCCATGAGCCTCAGAAAACTGTGTGGAACAGACACTGACCCAGACTCGCCCTCAAGCCAGCCGTGGACGGAGCGCAAGGCCCAGCAGCATGGCCTTGCCACCAGGATCCGCTGTCGGTGTCAGAATGTCACCTTGGGCTGTGGCCCCCAAGGCCAAGCCTACAGCTGCCCACAGGCCAGCAGGTACCCTTCCGCCAACACAGACGCAAACAGCACAAAATTTAGGAACAAAGATATAATGAAAGATTTTTTTTCACAAGAGTGGGTTAAACACATACAAGTGGTAAGTTATAGGGCAATTTTAAATAAACTGATCAAAAAACAAAGTCAAAGATGAAAAATGCATGGCCACACTTCAGTCTTCCCCGATGGCCCCTGGAGTGAAGTCACCGCGTGTCAGCAGGTGGCTCTCAGGTGGAATCAGTAAACACAGATGTAGAATGGGAGGGTGTCCAGGGGGCCGTCAATCCCAAAACTGAGACAATGCCCGCGGGCTCTGCCCCTAAACTTGGCCGTGTCCTTGTGATGCCTAGTGCCCTGTGTGACCTTCTGGAAAGGGCCAGTACCTGATGTGGACCTGCTGTGAAAAGGGACCTGAGAGCCTACCTTTGGGGTCAACCCAAAGTTTGGAACAAGTGTGAGGGAAGCGCCAAAGTGGAGAGCCTGCCTGTTGAGGGGGACTCCTTTGGGGCTGCTGGGGTCTGCAGCCTCCACAGCACAGGAAGGGGCTTCTGGGCCACCCGGACCCAAGGAATTCAGAGCAAAGGCTCTGGGGCACCAGGAGCCTGTGGAGGCCAAGGCCTGGCAGGACAGGGCAGCAAGGCCCCTGCTCCAGCCACTTCCTTAAGTAAAAGGCGACACCTTGTGGTCACAGTGAGCAGACTCTTAACTTCGACTTCAGCCACACAGAGGTGGCTTTCCTGGGAAGCATCTGTTTCACTCTAAGTGAACACAAACTCCTGGACCCCCATGGCCGTCCCTGGCCAGCCGGGCCTGGGCCCAGGCCCCACCGCTAAGCCCTCCCCATGTGACCAAGCGCAGCCATGCGACCGGCCCCGCCTGGTGGGCCAGAGCCACTGGACTAAGAACGCACGCCGAGTATTTCATAGGCATTGAGTTTTATATTTTTAAGTGATCAAATCTATAAAATGAAAAACAGGTTTACTAAAACAGGTCCGAAAGACAATACGGGAGAGAAGGTGTAAAACCAAAGCGTGAGGCCCCTCCTCCTCGGCCCCCGAGCGCCACAGCCCGAGACCTAGGGCGAGAATGGGCCGGAACGCGCGTCAGTGTGCTCCAAATCCAAACCACACACTTTGGTTTTTGTTTT